CCCAGTGTACGGCTACAATGCGAAGCCTTTCCTCTCAAGGAACCAATTGTGCAGCTTTTAATAAGGTTAAGGGCAATAATAATAATACCTGATATTGGAATGTTACACTAAGTTTCAACCGAAATCCGATGAAGCCATCTTTCTGGGATACTCAGCCAAATCTAAAACTTATAGGGTTCTGAATCGTAGAACTCGTGTAATTGAAGAAACTTTTGATGATAATTTTGTTCGGAAAAAGCAGATCCTGCTCATGTTACAACACTTATCATGGAGTCCGATGCTCCCCCTCCTGGGTCTCCGAGTCCTCAAATTATCTTTGAAGTTGATTTCGAAAGCTTGTTTGGACCAATAGAAACTACCGAGAACGGTTAGGGGCTTCGACGCTATTTGGGTCATCGTGGATCGATTGACCAAGAGCACCCACTTTTAAGCGATACGGGAGAGTTCATCGGCCGAGAAGCTGGCCGACTTGTATATCTACGAAATTGTTGCTCGCCATGGGGTACCGGTCTCTGTTGTCTCAGACTGTGATGTTCGGTTCACCTCCCGTTCTGGCAGAAGTTCCACGAGGAACTGGGCACGCGGCTGCACTTCAGTCGAAGCTATCATCCGCAAACAGACGGCCAAAGTGAGCGGACCATACAGAATCTCAAGGATATGCTGAGAGCCTGTGTTATTGACTTCTGTGGGAGTTGGGACTCCTACCTACCCATTGCAGAGTTCTCCTACAACAACAGCTTTCATTCCAATATTGGTGCTCCACCATATGAGCTGTTGTATAGATAGAGATGTTGCACCCCAGTCTGTTGGGGTGAGATTGGTCACAGGGTGATGGGACGGACATAGGTAGTTCTGCAGACTACCGAGAGGATTCAGCAGATCAGACAGCGGCTGCATACCGCTCAGAGTCGGCAGAAGAGTTACGCCAACAGACACCAATCTGAGCTGGAGTTCCAGGTGGGTGACATGGTATTACTGAAGGTCTCACCCTGTAAGGGTGTGATTCGCTTCAGGAAGAGGGGAGAATTGGGTCCCTGATACCTTGGGCCATTCAGGATCATTGCCAGGGTTGGCAAAGTGGCGTATAGACTAGATCTCCCGGAGGAGCTTAGTCAGATCCACAGCACTTTCCATGTGTCACAGTTGCGGAAGTGCCTATTAGATGAGGAGGCAGTGGTGTCATTGGACGATATACAGGTCGACGAGCGCCTGAATTACGTGGAGAGACCAGTGGTCGTTCTGGAGAGGAAAGTGAAGGTTCTACGGAACAAGGAAGTACCTTTGGTAAAGGTACAATGGGAGCATCGGAGGGGATCCGAGTGGACTTGGGAGCCGGAGGCAGAGATGCGAGAGCATTATCTGGAGTTGTTCGCCGCAGCAGACTTCGAGGACGAAGTCTAGTTCAAGTGGGGGAGAATTGTAACATCCCAACTCCCATGTATAATTTTTAAAAGCTTTATATTCATCTTATTGAGGGAACTCGACGAGTTGGAGGCCCCAACTTGTCGTGTCGAACCTAGTCAGCCCGCGTGATTTATGGCTTCTACTCGACGAGTTGGAGGACCCCAACTCGACAGGTAAAGGTTGTGCATGAAAACCCTAATTTTAAGTGTTTGCACCCTATTTAAATGACCTTAAGTCCTTTCCTCCAGCCTCCTTACCACCTTTTGACGGCCAGAAGCAACCCTATTCTTGAGTGTGGGAGAGGCTAAAAGTATGTTTTTGGTGCATTTGTTGAAGAACCTTGAAGATTAAGAAGCTTGGAACGAGGGGAAGCTTGTAGATCCAGTATCTACATAGTGTTGGCATCCAGTAGAAGGTAAAAAGTCTTTACCTTGGCCTTCCATTTCTTAGATCTCTTCTAATGTTGGAACATGGGCATTTTGGTGCAAAATGGAGTCACTTTCGGATTTGAGCTTTTCACAAGAGCATAGTTTCAGATCTGGACTCCTCTAGGCCCTTATGGACATAAGCCTCAAGCTTTATGAAGTTGTGTCCCTCCATCCTGTCTAAAACCTTATTCTAAGGCTAGTTATGAGTGTTTTAACCTCATGGAGCTTTGCATGCACGTAAAGTTAGCAAATTTACGTGATAACAACACCCTAGGAGCCTAGATCTACAGTTTGGAGCTTTAGTTTCACTTAAAAGCATCTGAATGAGAAATAGACTGAAGGAACTCGACGAGTTGCATAGTCAACTCGACAAGTTAAATGAGGGTTTCCCGCCTTTTGGATTCTGCATGAACTCGGCAAATTAGAGAGGTAACTCGATGAGTTGGTTAGGGTTTTCCTGACATTTTGGACACTACATGGACTCGATAAGTTGTCTGGAAACTCGGCGAGTCGACTAGTGTTTTCACGATTTCTTGAGTTCTGAAGGAACTAGACGAGTCAATGAGCTACACTCGACGAGTTGGGTCAACATGGACTGTTGACCTTGACCGTTAACTTTGACTTTGACCAAGTGTTGACCAGTTTGACTTCTGGGGGTATTTTAGTAATTTGGAAATTTATGGAAGTGGATCATTGGTGGATATAGGTGATTGAGTTTGAAGCTATATTTGGGGAGTTTGACATTATCATGCCGAGCTACTTGTGAGGTGAGTTATCCTCACTATACTAACAAGGTCGAAGGCACCAATGCCAGCCCTTCTTTTGGATTGTTATACTGGTTATTGCATGATGATATGCTTAGTGACCTGTTAGGTCGGTATCATGGTATATAGGATGATGTTATGTTAAGGACCGGTTAGGTCGGTATCCTGGTATATAGGATGATGTTATGGTTAGTGATATGTTAGATCGGTATCCTGGTTATAGGATGATACTATGTTAGTGATCTGTTAGATTTGTATGACTATCTGTACATGCTAGCTAGCATATGATATTTATGTGCACGTGATTGTTTGATTGGGGGTTAGATTGAGGCGGTCATGCTTTGTGCTTGCGCCAACATACCCAGGGCGGACCGGATAGACTGCAGACCCGGTTAGGGCGTACTAGTCAGGTCGAAGGCCCGGCGAGCGGTCCGGATAGGCTAAAGGCCCTAAGAGGCGGTTCATACGTGCCGATAGCTCGGAGAGCGGTCCAAATAGATTGATGGCACTGCGAGGCGATCTAGTCAGGCTGATGGCTCATTATGCATGATGTTTATATGATATGGTTATGATTTGTATGGCGTTGGTATTTTGGGGTAACTCACTAAGTTTCGGGCTTACAGTTGTTGATCTTGTTTCAGGTACTTCTGATGATCGCGGGAAGGCGAAGGCGTGATCGTGCACCTCCTTATATTTTTATGATTTGATTGTGGGATACTCTGACATTAAACCATTTTGAAAATAAATTTGTAATAATTATTGGTTTTTAAATGATTTAAAAAGTTTTAAATTGGCATGATTTTTATGCGTGTTACAGAATGATGATGTGAGTTATAAGCAATAAGAATGATGTTGTAGGAGAAGGCTTGAAGAAACGCAACAATTGAAAACAAATGTGAGTCGCGGATTCAAGGATGAATCGTATATGTATATGATAATTTGAATATGATTTTTTGGTATTAATGGTTTCCTAATAAAAATGGGTTTTATATTAATGGTTTACTAATATAAACAGATTTATATTAATGGTTGATATTTAATGCCTTAATTGAAATGGTTTTTAGTAATATGTTTTTAAAGTTGACCATATTAAAACATTTATAACCGGAAATTCAAGATTTAAAATATGGGAGACTTTTATTGGAATTAAATACATTCCATATCAGCTGCTTGGTTGCTTAGTTCTTGTGATGTGGCTAAGGTCTGGTGTTCTGAACATCATAACTTCTTCATAGGATGACAGATTTTAACGATCTTTATATCCACGCGTTCGTATATGAATCTACTACAATTTTCGTTTAGATTACTCCGTTAAAAAGTAATATATTTTAACTTAGGATCTTTATATCCATGCGTTTTTTATGAATGTATGTATGAACATTTTTTTTATAATTGTAATTAAAAATATATTGTTTTTAACGAGAGCAATCTAAACGAAAATTGTAGGGTGTTACTATTAATATCACTTTTCTTGTAGGGTGTTACTATTAATAACACCATATCTGGTATAGAAAATGGTGTTATATTAAAAAAGAAAAAAAAACTACACCATTTGTTACGCCTAATATAATGGTAGACCAAAGATGAGTAAGGGTTTGTAAATTAGTTGCAAAGCCAAATGGTTTTCACAAAAATTATTTTACGAAATAAATGATTATTTTATGATAATCTCTTTTAAGTTATAATTTCATGACATATAACACCTTCTGTTTATTAGATTTACTAATTCTCTTTTATATTTATATCCTTAAAAAACACAACACATGTGAAAGTTAGTGATAAGATGTTACTTATTTGAATCATCATATATTTTCACACAAATAAAAGGTTGGTGGATAATAACAAGTACAAAAATTAACAACCAGCGTCACAATAATTAAAAGCAATGTAAAACGAAAAGATAGTAATAAAAATAATAAATGAAACATCCTTTCAATTTTGTCACTTGACTCAACTTCCCATTACCTTGAAGTTTCTTAGAGCTTACACTACCAACCTAAATTCAACAATTTTGCCATTTTTTACTTTATATGGGAAATTTAAAAAAATATATAAGATTCTGGATCTGGTAACACGAGTTTGCTTTATTATTCCTATCGGAAACCTTAACTTTTATTATGATGGCAAGCAATAATATATAGATTTTATAAATAAGTTCGATATCATATATATTTTTTCACGTTTATAATGACTGTGGTATGAGTGTGGTCAAGCGACTGTTTTTGTAAGGGATATTTTAATTTAATCAATCTTTTGAACTTTCAAACGGCAGCCATGGACCCCCATAATTTTCACTCCTCTGCCAACCTCAGTTCCTCCACTCCTATAAAAATCCCTAATACACAGATACCATTCATCCACCTCGAGCCATTTCCACTTCTCAAAATAATAAAAAAAAAAAAAAATGGCCACTCAAAGAACAATCGTCGACCAGGTTTCTGGCTGGCTCACTGTCTACGACGGCGGTTTTGTTGATCGGACATGGACAGGACCACCACAATTCAAGTTCATGTCTGATCCCGTCCCACCACACCACAATTTCATCAATGGCGTTGCAACCCATGATCTGTTCACTCATCCAGATGCCGATCATCGCATCAGGGTTTATCTCCCGGAGATAACCGACTACGGAAAGCTTCCCATAATCCTACACTTTCATGGTGGAGGATTTTGCATCAGCCAGGCAGACTGGTTCATGTATTATAATACCTACACTCGTCTTGCACGTGAAGCTGGAGCCATCGTTGTTAGCACCTACCTTCGTCTTGCACCAGAGCACCGCGTCCCTGCCGCCATAGATGATGCCTACTCCACCCTTCTCTGGCTCCAAGATTTGGCCGATGAAAAAGTACACGAACCATGGCTGTCTTCTAAGGGAGACTTCAATCGTGTCTTCCTCATTGGAGACAGCTCCGGCGGGAACATTGTCCATCAGGTGGCCAAAAAGGCAGCCGGAGAAAACCTCCATCCACTTACACTCGCCGGAGCAATCCCCATCCACCCGGGGTTTCTCAGGTCAGTAAAAAGCAAGTCGGAGTTGGAAAAACCCGAGTCTCCGTTTCTGACTCTGGACATGTTGTATAAGTTTCTGATGCTGGGGTTGCCGGTGGGCAGCACTAGAGACCACCCTATAACATGTCCAATGGGAGAGTCGCTGAAGGGGTTGGATTTACCTCCGTATCTTCTGTGTGTGGCGGAGGAGGACTTGGTGATAGATACGGAGATGGAGTTTTACGAAGAGATGAAGAAAGCTGGGAAGAAGATTGAGTTGTTGGTCAGTAATGGAGTTGGACACAGCTTTTATCTGAATAAGATCGCTATTGACGTGGACCCAAAAACCTCTGAGGGGACTCATAAATTGATCCAAGGAATCTCCGACTTCATTCGAAACCACTAATCAAATGTTTCCTGTTGTTGCATGTGCTATATATCTTTTCTCTCTTAGTTAATAAAATCTGGTTTTAATAATCATTTAATTTCGCGGTTTGGGACCTCTTAGAATTTAAATATCTTAATCAAGAGTGTAATAATGAATTTGGCGGTTTGGGACCTCTTAGAATTTAAAATATCTTAATCAAGAGTGTAATAATGAATTTGGCTGTTTTTTTCACTTTTGAAGAAATAGATATCAAGGGATCTACCAATGACGTGACAGACAAAAAGTGAGGGAAGCTTCTCACACACACCTTCACGTCTTAGATTAAGTCAAGTGTCAAAATTAAGAAATAAGATTAAGAGAGAGAATTAATGAATTTCATATAATTTTTCATAACATTATAGAAATAGGAAGATAAATAAGAACGAAATGAACATGAAATACATGTTTTATAGAAGTACGAAGATAAATAAGAACAAAAGATAGGAAAATATTTATTTTTTCATAACCTTAAAGTTATTTTTGGTTGTTTAAAAATTATAGTGGTTATTATAGAACTTTTTTTAAACTTTACCATTGAACTTGTTTCTTGTAATCTTCTTCGGTAAACTTTTTTTACATCAGTTACCATGTACTATTGAACTTTTTTTCTGGTCATCTTCTTCAACGAGTTTTCGACCATCATTTGTTTTTCGACGAGTTCTTCGCACATATCGCACGCACACTCACCAACCCAAGAAAAAAATCCTTCATATATTCATCTTTATAAAACCCCAAAGAGCCCGAAGTTTTTCTTCATCTCGAAGAACTCGAAAACCTAGAAAAAATAACCAATAGAAAGCCCATAAAAACCTACCAGGTCTAGAAGCTCGATTCTTATGTGGGTTTTCATTTCCAAGATCCTCGAAGCTTTTCTTTATCTTCAAGAACTTGAAGCTCAATATTTTAAGAACAAACAAGGGTCTTTTGACCTAAGAACACGATCTGAAAGTGTGTGTTTGGTTGGAAGTCACAAAAAATCTCAGGTTTATTGGAGAATCGTTGGAGAAGCAGGGGCGCTTCTCTTTGGGTGGTCGCAGTGACACCGGCAACCACTGTTTTTTGTATGCGTAGTGTAAATTTTGCGGATTTTTTCAATTTTTTCCTTTTTTCTACTATAAAATATGTCACCGGCAACACTACTACGAAATTATGCGTTCACTCATGTGGAGAATGTTAATGGAGAGTCGTCAGAGATGCAAGGTCGTCTGAGCTCGGCTAAATGTGAATACCAAAAACAAGTTTAATACAAGTGGTGTACAATATTTGGTCATAATAATAGTTTTCAAAGTTTTCAAAAGCCAAAAACAAATTCAGTGATGAATAATAATAATAATAATAATAATAATAATAATAATAATAATAATAATAATATGGAAACAATAGAAAGTAACCAAGTTTGAAAAAAAAAAAAAACAAAAACTCGTTACTCTAAAAGATCATTAACCCTTGTGAAAACTTAAAACAAAACACCTTTCATTAATAGAGAAAATGTTTTAATTGGGTTTTTAACATAAAAAATGATAATAAATCTTGTAATCATGCATGTTTATTTATATTATTCTATTAAAAATACCGACAAATATCGGAGAATATTTACCACAAATTTGTCCCAACTTGGTATAGGACCCATGCGTTTCATATCTTAGACGTAAATTTTCTGTTTTGGCCTATAGGTATAAATCAACATCTTCATTTATTTTCTGAACAAGGATAAAAAAATCTTAAATATATAGATCGTTTATATATATATATATATATATATATATATATATATATATAGTATTAGGACTTATTTTGTAATTTACAAGGATAATTTTTATAATTTATTTTCTACATAGGGACCAAACCTACCAACATATAAAAATCTTGTGGCCAAAGGCTTAAGCTCGAAAAATCTAGGGACTAAATATGCTAAAATACAAAACTATTATGTGGTCAAAACTTATAAACTGTAGGGATTAAATCTGTCAATATATAAAACTCTTGTGGCCAAAGTCTCAAACTTAAAAGTCCTTTATTCATTTCCCAATTCAAATTACTATATCTAATAATAGACAATTTGTGGTATACATTTTCATTAGTTAAGGAAACCTTGAATTGATTGAATTAAAAACCATAAAATGACTACAGTTAATTCTATTGCAACCCTTACTTTGTCCAGATAGATATGGCCTTTCTTAGGAAATGAGAATACATGATTTTCTTAATCAGTTTTTGGTTCTCTCTTTCTATCTATAAACATTTATAATTTTCGCTAGTAATTTGGTTTTCGTTTTTTGTGTCTAGAATCGAAGGTGTGCTTGTAGATTATCATAAATTGAATTTGGTGATACTTAAGCATAATGTCGATATATTAATTCTGAAAGTGTGATGTGCAAATTATGTACTACCTAGTTTTAAATGTATAATCCTAACCTACTCAACTAACTAATTGCACTTAGACACTGTACCTAGTCAAATTTATAGAATAGTTTAGATAAGTTGGGTATCGAATATAGGGAAATTTTTTAGCTAATAATATAATTACTAAAAATTAATCTAAAAACTATAATTAAAGAATGGGTTTTTATCTGATTTTTCAAATTCAGATTAAATTAAAACTAGGCACTTAACTAAAAACGATTGTAAACAAGATTAATAAGACACTTCCGTTTAGTTTCGAATCCCCTTTTTCCTATGTGTAGTTTCTACGTATGGATTTATTCAGTTGGTTACCAATTTAGATGTAATTAACAGTCTTGATCCGATCTCCTAATATTTTCACCAATTTATGAAATACTATGTAATGATCATACACAAGCAAACACATAATTGATTATTAATGATAATTGGGCTATGTAAGATATATCTAGATAATAATCTATGATCAATACAATTAATTAAACACAATTATGATCAAATTATGTTCTCCAACACAGTTAAAGTTGTTACATTTATTACTTAATCTAAGATGTGATTAATCCTAGCTCTAACAATTTAATGATCATAAAGTACTAAGTAAACAAGTTCATGCAATTCAAATGGCCATTAAACTACATTTAACTTAAATCGAAGCAACAAAGATGCAAACTTTAACATGCTAGGTAAAGATAATCAAACACATGCATTAACCAACTTCATAAAATCAAAATATAAGAAACTAGCACATAATATTAGGGTTCGTCTACACTAAACAAAAGCCTAATGATTAGCTATTTATAACAGAAAATAAGCACACAAAAACATAAGAATTCGACATTGTTAATCTAATGCAAACTGAATGTAATGTGTAATCTTCAAATCTTCAATCTCCAAGTGTTCTCTCTTCCAAAGGGTTGTCTTTCGCAGATCCTTGGCCTCTAAAATTGATTATCTCTCCAGAAAATCAGAACCAACCTCCTAAAATTCGATATGTAAAGGGATATTTATAGTTTCCAAATATCGCGTGTTACGCCGTGAGCATTAAGGTTCGTGTTGTAAGCTCAGTACAATTCGTGTTCGGCAAGGAAACTGCATTTCGCGTAGTTATCTTATGGAATCTTCATTTTCATGTCGTGAGAAGTAAAGACTCACGTCGTGAGCTTCTATTTGACTCAATTTTCTTCTCTTTTAAGCTCCCAGCTCAGCTCCAGTCCTTCCAGGTTCCAGCTTTTGTCGGTTTTAGTACATTTTCCTCAAGAATGTGATATTTGGCTGCAAAATATAATTTAACTCAATAAGTACCAAATATATTTGCAATTAACCAAATTATATCTTAAAATGTATTAAAATAATGTCTAAATATATGTATAAATATAGCAATATCAAAATACCCCACACTTGCGTTTTGCTTGCCCTCAAGCAAAACTGATTTTATTATCATATCATCACATTAAAACCCTAGCTACTAACATTGCACAAGACAATTGATTTTGAGCTTCCCCATTATATCAAGACCGCAACGCACATATTTGTGTCTAATTTTCCTAAAAGCCTCCCCAATCCTAAATACTCATAATCTTCATAAACACTTCCACACTTCTTTTGAACAACGCTCATTTTATGCATCCCTCCGAATATACCCTCAGAAATCTTTTTTAACCTCAAGGTAATTTTTGGTTAAGCCCCAAGCATACATATGGAAAAATAACCTATAAATTAAAATAATAATAAATAACTTGGCAAATTGCCTTATTATTGAGTCTTCAATGATTTTTAACTTTTCTTCATAATATTTCTTGATCTTCATAACTTTGTAAACTCTTATTCTCTCAAACTTTTCGAACTTTTTTTTCTTTTTTTTTCCTTTTTTTTCTTTTCTCACATTTTTCACTCAAAACTAAAAATCCTAAAAAAAACATATGCTTAAGCAAGAGAACTTAACTTCACCCCTTATTGGTTAGAGGTATTAGTCTAAAGTGCAATGATTACATAAGCTCTCTTGGATACATTTTTGGTACATGATGCTATACATATTGTGGCCCTCAAACTAAGCAAGGTCATGTTTTTGTTTCATGATTTCACTAGGATAGGGAAGCCACAAATATACTATAACATATATTGGCTCAAGTAAACATTGAAACTTGCATCAGATCGTCCCACACAACACTAGCAACCTAGATCTCAACACAACAATATAACAAATTTTAGCTAGATTCAAATTTTAGATTATTATTTCAAATGCTTTTAATAATTTTTTGAAAAATTCTAGTCATTTTTTTCATTTTTTTAATCAAAATGTTTGTATTCTTAAATTCAACCCCCTACCCCATACCATGCAATGTCCCCATTGCATGATAAAACAATAAAAGAACATAAATTAAAGAAGAGAAATTGGAACAGACTCCCCTGGAATAGTAGTGACGAGATCGAATTCTGAAACTTGTGTGGAAAGCTTGAACATCTTGAATATGTACTGGAACTGGACTTTGGCAGCTACTCATAAATTTGTCGAATAAAAGTGTGAATAAAAAACTTGCACTTCAAAAAGTATGGTGCAAGAAACTTCAAAGTAATGCATC